GTGCGAGGTCTGGCAAGCGCCGCGCTCGGCGGGCAAGTGACCTGTGGCTTCGAAGGTCCTACTTTCGGCGGACCTGCTTGACAGCACGAGTGTTCAGTTCAATATGAATGAACTTTCCAATTAAAACAGTCGATTGTATCTAAACTAAATTACAATTGTTTCGACTTTGTCTATTTCGTGACTTTGCGTTTCGGCTTGCGTGTCCGTTCTCTATGTGAGCAACGCCTGTTCACGGACGCTTTTTCGATAGGACAGAAATCTGTACAATTTAAAATGAGGAGGTACAGAGCCAGGCAGCCATTGTCCCCGTCGAAATACGTTCTTTTCGCTTTAAGCCCAGTCTCAAATTATCGGAGGAGCCCTCACACGGCAGAAAGGAATGAGTCAGATGACCTTGGACGGCTTCTCCCTGAAATCAACGCTGAGGTTCCCGTTGTCGGTTATACCCAGTCGTAAGTATTGCTTTTCCTACGCTGCAGTGATGTGCACCTCAAAGAGGCTTGGGGTCAGGGTGTATGATGAATTCATGTGCACTGTAGCTCTTCCTGCAGGACTTGATATCTCTTTCATTTGATGCGATTAGCGCTAAGCTCATCACTGGATGAATTTCACAGATTTATTTTCCCCACCTTCCCTCATGTAAAAGTGTGAATTGCTTGACGCTACACACGAAGTGTCTTCGTCTGTTTCTGCCCATGCGTTCAGGCCGATCAATTTGTCTCCGACAGCCCCGCGCGTCAGTGCTCCTGTTCATTCGAACAGCCCAGCATCAAACGCCTATGCGCCTTCAGCTTCCCACAAATTGAAGTCTGCCCCCGCGGAAAGCAGTGATCCTCTGCGCGAACGTCGCTGGACCCCACAACCGACAGCACTTGACAAGTACCTTGCAGGCCTCCGCCACCACCTGAGTATGGAGGAGCGCCTCAGCATTTGCATGGCGGTGGCAAAGAACTTGCATGATTCAGTTGCTGCGAGAGACGGGGGCCGACTTCTTGTGCAGTCAGAAAACTGTCCCCTCCCCTCTCTACCTCCCATTCACGAGGAAATTGCTGCCAACTCTTCCCGCACTACCCATGTAGGAAAGCGGCCGCGTTGCCCAACCTCTCCAAAGGGTGAACGCCCTGAACAAAGGCGTAAACCTCTCTTCCGTATTAAGCTCCCCGTGTCTGGCGACCCCTCTCAACTCGCCGCCCCAACGACCATCGGTGGGCATGGATCTCCTGGCCAGCTGGAGATAGCTGACAGCGTCGACGCAGCTGTACTGCAGTAACGGTGGTGGCAAAACTCATACTGCAAATAAGGAATGTGCTCGAATTTCGGTTGGCGAGCTGCTGTTTGCTGTGCCCCTAACTGGTGGAACAGACACGACTTTTTTCAACCCGCATTTTGCTTCCAGCCTACCTTCCGCACGCTCCTTTTTTCTTAAGGTCTATCCTGTAGATGTGGCACTTCCTTGAGTTGCCGTCTGGGATGGTCCCAATACTGAGTTGTTTTTCGACAACAAATAAGCACACCAACAGCCGTGCACAGGGAAGAAATCACTAACGCTCCCTGAGAACTATACGTTAGACCGCTTCCCTCTGGCATAGCAAGTCCCCTCACAAGAAACACTGCGATACACCCATGCGCAGCAGTATCACATGCAAAAAGGTGGCAATTGCAACCAAAGTGCTCTCCTAAATTTGAAAGAGTAATCACCTCGGCCTTCTTCTCAACGATTGTCTCCCATAGTAGGTTGCAGTTGAATAAAATGAATGGATAATGCACACGGACGGCCAGTTTCTACTGTATTCCCCATGCTCCCCTTTTATTTTCGCCACCCCGGCCTTGTACCAAGTTTTTCCAGTTGTAGCAAAGTTGTCCGCTGCAAGAAAATACTGGGGCATGCTGGAAGTTGTCACAGCTAAAGGATGTTCAGAGGCCGTAGACAGCGTTGCTATGACCGCCTGTGGTTACTGCTAAGCCCCAAAATCATGTTCTCCCTGACTGGATGTGGAGTGCACACTAGATGAGACAAAGAGTGGTTTTCTCTCTTGACCCGCGAAACGATTTAACTAGAATTGCCAGTTTAGCCTTTCGGAAAATGGCTAACCCTGAAGAGCAGGAACCCCAAGTGACTTTGGATCCGCGCATGCACCAGCATCCCTCACTGCTGCGTACGGCCAATCAACACCCTAAACCTTCAATCCTAAACAATTCAGAATGGTCGGGGGATGGCCGGGTTTGGTTGGGCAGCTGCCTCTACCGCTGCCGCCTGGCGCGGAGCGCAAGTCCTAAATTTCTCTAGCGCCCTTGCTTAACAACCTCTACAGCTGCAGTGATCTGCTCTCTTAGCCTGCTCGTTAGCGGAGGGTTCGCTCGCGAGTGTAATTCCAAGTGCTTCAGCACCTGAAGGGAACGGAACCAGGAGACCCCGCTGTTCTGTTGCAGAGACATCAGCAGGCACTTGCGACCTTCCATCAACACACCCTTCGACTCCTAGGCAGAAACAGCGCACTAAACATAGGACAGGCAATAAAAGCAAAATTGTGCACACCGGAATCATGCAAACACTGAGACGCAAACCGCCCAGCAGGCTTATGGAGGAGCATCCAACGACCAGAGCCTAAAGCGAACACTTCAAGATGTACATAGGCAGCGACGCAAATACAAATTGCCACACCTGAAGGGAATATCCTGAAGATTAGAGACTTGTAAGCCACATAGCAAAATAACACTATCAAGCTGTCTAACCCGAAATATAACCCCTATATCCACTATCACGGGCCCTCATATTTACTCTAATATTATGCCCACAACCGCTGAACCCCAAACACTGGTTTTACCTTCATTTTCCTCGCATTCCTCGCTGCCGCTCGAGCTTGTTTTTTGGCCTTTTTGTAGGCCTCAGTCTGAGCAAAAACGCGCTCAAGGGAGGGCACGTTTCTTGAAACCGACGGCCCCATACCTTAAATCCTAACCCCCAAAATCCCAAGTCCCCAACCCTGCGCCGCAAGAGTTATCCAGACCTTCACAGATATATGCCCCGATCATTAAAGTGAAGGGCTTTACTGACACTGCGCTGAGACGAGGGGGTCTGTCGGGGCCATGTATGGGTGCAATACTATCAACGGGGCATTTGGGAGCCTCTTTTAGGCTTTCTGACCGAAGGAAAGAGCACAAAACTACGTGATCTCCAAACTACCGACCTGTTTAACCCCATATGGAATCCTTTGTCTGTAGGTCACGCCGCGCAAAGCTTGCGAGAGGAAGAAGGACCCCCACATCATACACTAACACTGAAGCTCGGCGCTTTATGCACTTGTTGCCTTTCCTGTCCTTGCCGCCAGTGCCGCTGCTGCTCTTTTCCGGCTCTTGATGATGCTTCTTCTGCTACACCTTCGGCTCCTGCCCCTACTACTGGTAGTCACCAGTGGATGCAGGATGCCACTGGCATGCTGGATTTGTGCTATTGCTGCAGGTAGTCCCGCTGCTGGGGCCGCAGCACACGCGCATGCATTACTTAAGGTTGTTGGGGAGAGCCCTGTCCATACACCCCTGAAGGCCTTAACGCTCTCCTTGTGGCCCACTGCTGGTGGTTTTGGGCCCTCTATCTCCGGCATGTGGAGACATTTACTGGCAGTTGTAATGCATATGTGTGGGTGAATAAATGCATTTCAAACGAATTTTCCTGCTGAACTGTCAATGGGAGGTCGGAGGACAGTACCAGGCAAACCTACTGCATTTTTTTTTGGATGGGGGGTTGGGGGTTGTCGGGGGAGGG